GTTGTGCAATTCACGGTGAAATTTCGTTTTCGAGGAATGATTCACGTAAAAATTTGCAGCCTAAGAACTCATGCATTTGACCTTTAATTCTGTAGTTGGAAGACTGTCATATGATATACACTTTTGTGCCATATTTTGATTTTGGTGAGCCAAGTGACATGAACATCCTGTTCTCACTCTCCATCATTGAGTCAGAAGATGAATTACGTGACTGGAAGGTTCTATGTAATTTTTTGGAATAAATACGAATGATAATTCTAAATCCTTTCATTAACAATTGGCTTCCCTCCTGGAGAGACCTGCATGTAACAGAAGCTGATTCCAGAAACCAATAATTCATTAAATTTAAACTGCGCTTTAATTTACTGAACAACGAGCATGCCTGATTAATGGACGAACTTGCCGAGACCATTGAATCAAGACTCATGAAGTTGCAGACTTCACGATCTGAAAGAACCAAGGGGGTTGAAGGTGGGCGGATGGCTGGATTTTCAGGTTGATCACTGCTAATTTAATTAATTTATTATACAACGTAGAGCATACAGGAACATATGCACAATTTTACAAATTGTGCACTAATGATGTGTGCAGCGGTGAGAGATAAAAACGTTATGTAAAATGAATGGAAGGTAAGATCAAAAAGAAAAAACAGAAGGTGAAAAGTAAAATAAAATAGCGATAAAAGAATATAAAAACTAAAATAATGTAGAGAAGGGTTGAGGACTACTTGAGGAAAGTATGTAGGTGATTCAGGGAAGAGGAAGGGCAGCAGCTAAAGGTTTGCAGTTACGGCGTTCGCCGGAGGGCTAGGGTTGACAATGCCTGAGTGCCTTCCCTCCGTCGGGGTGATATCTCCGTCCCCGTTTTTTTCGGTGATCGGTTATGGCTTGTTGCGGGGTAGTTCTTGGTCGATGGCATCCTCCTGATTGTCAGGGCCTGTACACGAAAGTAGATTTCGGCCGAGACTTTGAGGATATCCGCAATGGCAAGTTTGCGCAGTAGACCTGCGTACCGCCGCCCGACCCCTAACGGCCGGAACACACTCCCATGTGCCCAGTACACCTAACATGAGAACTGCTGTGGTGGCCCGGATGCCCTGTTGAGACAGGAGGACGGCTTTGGGTACGTAGTGCTCGACCTTTCGCTGCTTGGCCGCGTCGAACGCATCCCGCCCATTTTCAAACGGGATGGTCACGTCGACTATGACGGCTGTTCTGCTTACTTTGTCAATCACCACTATATCCAGGTGATTCTGGGAGCTTATCATAGGGAGTGCGAGGTTCACTCACAACTCATTTCTGACCGACCTCAGGTTTGCCCTTTACCACTCGGATGAGCAGTTATAGTGGCGATCGCTATACATCGTGCAGTGTGCTTGGAGGCAGTGGCAGAGGACGTGGGACAGGGTGGCAGTTCAATACATATCATAGCCATTTTGAGCCAATTCGTATAATATGAATTCAGGTGTCATAAATTCTTCCGACTAAACCATAAACTGTTCCGAACGTCGACAAATCCGTCAAGAGGACTTTAATTCCGCTAATATCGGCATCTCTTTCTGGTGGAAAGGTAAGAGTCGATCATTACGTACGAAAGCGAAAGATTGTATTCGACTGCATTTCACAAGAGTAGACGTCGAACGTAACTTATCCGATTAACTGTTCAAACTATAGCTCTTGATATATCGGTCAAACACAGTGACTCTTACGAGTTAGCTTTGCAGAACATAAACGAGCGAGCCAGTGACTAGTGAAGGACCAAGAAACTCTAAAGAAAATGGACTAACGTTAACGCTCACCTGTCATCATATCACTACCGGCCACTGCAATGACTTCGCCGGAGCAGGACCTATCAATCAGTCAACTGATTTAATTGAAGGATTAGTACTAGAAGCTCCACTGATCCAAACAGCTGATAATAATAATAAGATAAGGGATTGCGAATTGAAGAGTGGAAATGTCTAAAACCTAAATAATTCTAATGAAGCGCTTTGAAGGGTCGAAAAAAGTGAAAGGGTCATGGGTGACAGAAACAACCGGCCTACCAACGAAGTTAATAGCGAACAGAGACATGACAGCTGCATAACAAGCGAAAAAGCACAATGCAAGTATCGCTTGATTGATCACAATTAATCAAACAACCTGCAAAACGTACAATCGTACAAATATATTTATAACAAAGTCAAACGATTTTGGTTCACGAGGGTTGGCAAGCCGAGCCGAAACCTGACCCGCTGTGTGGCGAGTTCCGCGAAGTGTAGAAAAAAGTTCTCTTTTAACTGCTAGCACGATTTCCACAGCGACAAACCTTTTCGAACAAATTCTTCTCATCTCTCCTACTTTGTACCCTGAGAACAAGCACACTTCAATGCTGTTTGGCCGTAGACAGCTTAGCCTACAGCAGCACACGTGGTGTAGGAAAAAGTCCAATCATTTAATGTCGATATCAACCCAGAGCATTGGGATTTGGAAGACGAGCCATTAATTTTAAAGGACACGGTTCATTTGTTAGCTGAGAATCCCACTCTTATATCACATGACGATTAGAAGTAAAATAAAGCTGTCAAGACAGATCTCAACCCTTCGAGCCGCCCAATTTAGAGATCATCATCTTCGTTCACTGTAATATGTACAAAATGACATGCCTAAAAGACTTATGCGTTTTCAGGACGCGAAAGTTCATTACCACGTTCAGCGTATATTACCACAGCTTCATTTCAGCTTCAAGTTGCGTGACATACCTTTTTTATACATTGACTGCCACAGTGTCGACCAACATTCACAGGAGAAAGAAAGGCCATTACGTGAGCAGGGGGTGAGGTAACTGATACACATGAATCACTTGGTTGTGGAGTCACAATCGATAAGACGAACGACGTATTGCTCACGCGAGTGAAGTTGAAAGCATTCAGTGTTCCAGGCAGTTTCAGGCACTTTAAATCTGAAAAATTGCCTGACTTAGTAATAGCAGTTTTGGTTCTAAGAAAATTTACTCCGTACTTGGCACAGGCAAATTTTCTGGGCAATAGGCCGTAATTGTATTGACGCCTGACAGGTTAAGTGCAGTGACGTTTAAATCAAGACGATCTATTGCGTACACCTGTTCTGCTCCAGCATAGAATGTATAGCTGTCTGCAGCCAAATGCCGCACAACCTTTCCATCATTTGCTTAAAAATAAAATTTGCAGTAACACAATAACATGATATACAATTCATATATAAGGCAGGGTTTAAGAAGAGACACTGCATTTATGTAGCTAATTCAGAAGTTTCTAAAGCCAAATATGGTAAATTATAAATTATAATTTAACGTGTGACATTGAGCAACCCTTAAAAGTAGGAAGAATTAGAATTCTTTTTTATCCTGCGTACAGATGCCATCTAGCTGGTTTCTGGGTCACAGCTCACAGTCAGAAGGTAGAGCATCGGCCTAGTTATCCAAAAATTTTGATTCAAATCCGGTTGGGCATTCACATCTCTTTCTCAGGTAAATAAACAAACACCACGAAATGGGGTAGAAGAGGCACACTGCCAGCTGTGCTCGAAATATGGCCGCAGACATTTCTTTTAGAAAATAGGGCATTCCTGCCTCATGATATCCCGAATAAGATCAAAGAAGCGCCATAGGCTCAATGAAAAAATATGCCATAAATTATGACAGGATACGGAGCCAATATCTTAACTCTTTCTCGGTTATTGAGATAGAGATGAGAAAATTGTGAATGCTATATCCCTTGGCTTCACTGCCTAACTATAGCAAAACAGTCTGCCGAATATTCTTCCCACTTAACATCGGTAATGCAGAGAGTCTAGAGGATTTCACGAAGATGAGAATCAACATTCCTATCAACATAGTATTTTCACCAACAGTTAATCCAGAATAGTAGTTTTCTTGAACTTTAGGGGTTCGTTGTAATATGTAGTAATTATTATAAGTGTGTGTTTCTGGGCACTTCAATTCAATAAGCCAATGAGATGTGTTCAAAGTGGAATAATGAACCTTACCACTGGGAGCTATCCAGGTGCCAGAACAGATACCGACTTGCGGGATACTTCAGGCCTGGTACCCAACGTAATAAATGCAGTAAATAACTTCAACCTACTGTACTTAGCAATGAAACACTGTACTGAACTACTTTCTTATGCATACAATGAACACGGATACGCAAAGCACTGAGTAAATTTTGACCCACTCCACTTTTCATTTGTAATCAAATGTCATCATCTCGCTCATCCAGAGGTACACGAACAACTCTGTAGGTTTATGATAAGTAAATTAGTTAATATGTTTATTTTATAGGTAATGTGTTACTTGTTACATCTGGTTATTACACTATTCATGTAAAACAATGCATAATGGAGCCTAGGAGTCGTTCGCATTTTACAACATGGCCGCACACCTCGTCCATTCTGATAGTACTACACCAAAATACCATTCTGTCCCTGTTATTCGACAGTCAATGACATGCGACCCGTTTCTCTCGTGGCTGTGCCAAAGCAACGTGGGTTTAATTCCTTAGTCAAAAGAATTCATGGCCAATATTGTCCCCGTAACCTTGAGCAGATTCGAACCGGGCAACTTCAGAGTTTAACACCGCTCGCTCTGCACTGTACACCTCAGAAAAGTCCAAAAGGACATTTATTCTGCACTTTCTGAATCTTAAAGTAAGCTGCTAATAACTGCCAGTTACGCGAAGCATGTAACTGAAAAACATTACCTTCAAATAGTTGTTTAGCCACCAGATTACGGCACTGTGTCGCCTCGCTTATGCCAGAGGATGAAAGAACGATCACTTCGACGTGAAACCTCTTCTGAGGAAAAAACGTTAGGGCGAAATTCGGCGCTGTCGGTTCACAAGTAAACGTTTCAACAGTTTGACTTTTGAGATCAAGAGACCTTAGAGCGAATTTCTGACCAAACGACAACATGAAGTACGCTTTGCTGAAACAATGTTCAAAGGTTTAACGGAAAGAATATTATGTGCGTTGCCAAAAATGGTTATAACCAAACGTTTATAATGACAAATTTCAAGTTTAATTTATCAAATCATCATGTTTTATTACACTAAGCGAGAGCCTTTGCTTCTCCAGATTGAGAAGTCACAGCTGCGATGGTTTTGGCATGAATTACTCCAGGAAGGCGAAGCAACTGTTTCTTGCCAAACCAACCGGCAGAAGACCCAGAGGACAACCAAAATTAACCTGGTGTAAAT